TGTGTGTGTGTGTGTGTGTGTGTGTGTGTGTGTGTGTGTGTGTACGTACTCACCTAATTGTGGTTGCAGGGGCCGAGACTCGGCTTCTGGCCCCGCCTCTTCACTGACCGTTACTAGGTCCTCCCTTTCCCTGCTCCATGAGCTTTATCATACCTCGTCTTAAAACTATGTATAGTTCCAGCCTCCACTACATCGCTTGCCAGACTATTCCACTTCCTAACTTCTCTATGACTGAAGAAATACTTCCTGACATCCCTTTGACTCATTTGAGTCTTCAGCTTCCATTTGTGAACCCTTGTTTCTGTGTCCCATCTCTGGAACATCCTGTCTCTGTCCATCTTACCTATTCCACGCAGTATTTTGTATGTCGTTATCATGTCTCCCCTGACCCTCCTGTCCTCTAGTGTCGTGTGTGTGTGAGACAGACAGTGAGTGTGTACTCACCTATTTGTGGTTGCAGCGGTTGTGTGTGTGTGTGTGTGTGTGTGTACTCACCTATTTGTGGTTGCAGCGGTTGTGTGTGCGTGTGTGTGTGTGTGTGTGTGTGTGTGTGTACTCACCTGTGTGTGTGTGTGTGTGTGTGTGTGTGTGTGTGTGTGTGTGTGTGTGTGTGTGTGTGTGTGTGTGTACTCACCTGTGTGTGTGTGTGTGTGTACTCACCTAGTTACTCACATAGTTGAGGTTGCAGGGGTCGAGTCCTAGCTCTTGACCCCGCCTCTTCACTGGTCGCTACTAGGTCACTCTCCCTGAACCGTGAGCTTTATCATACATCTGCTTAAAGCCATGTATGGATCCTGCCTCCACTACATCGCTTCCCAAACTATTCCACTTCCTGACTACTCTGTGGCTGAAGAAATTCTAACATCCCTGGGATTCATCTGTCTTCAGCTTCCAACTGTGTCCCCTTGTTGCTGTGTCCCATCTCTGGAACATCCTGTGCTTTGTGTGTGTGTGTGTGTGTGTGTGTGTGTGTGTGTGTGTGTGTGTGTGTGTGTGTGTGTGTGTGTGTGTGTGTGTGTGTGTGTGTGTGTGTGTGCGTGCGCGCGTACACGCATGTGCGCGCCTGGACTGCAAATAAGAGCAGTGTGGAGGTGTGAGTGTTCCCAGCAAGTCTTGCTATCGCCAAGGGCTCCAGTGCCAGGCTGGCGCTGCCCTGGGAAGAGCCACCTGCACTTCCCCACACAGTTACTGCTCCCACTGCTGAAGGTCATACGGGCTGACATATACTCAAAGATAACATTTCAATTTTTTATACACATCTTGCAACTGCATGCGACACAAGCACATTTACACAAATAAATAAAGAAAGCAAAGAGAATGCCGAAGCGCAGCTAATTTTTCTTTTTTAGATTTCAAGTCTGTCGACAACACATGGATCACTAAATATACATGTTACCTCTACATTAATATTGGAGATCCTTTAATCCATTATAGATAAAATAAAACTTTCATTGAATATATGATAAGCGATAATAGTCTCCCAGTACATATACCGTTTATAAACAGGTTTACGAGAAGACCTATTAATCAGAAAACATGGAGATGAATGACACTGACAGTGTCATCATCTCCTTGAAGTTAAGTGACTTCACCCACTGTAAGACTCCCATGGTAAAGAAGAGACAGGGGCAAGAGAAAGGACTGGATAATTATAGACAAGTAGAATTAAACATACATTCTATAACAAAACGTTCTGTTTGCCTTTGTTTTATTCCAACAATGGCGTGCAAAGTTACTGGAGGTGACAACAAGATAATGTCTGAGTCAGTATCTCAAGTCTCTATCGACAAGCTTGAGATGATGAACCAACTTATCTGGATGTGATGTCTCTCAGAATTTATAAGATAAAGTAGACATATTTTAGTTTTCATTATATATAGAGCCTAACTTATTATTCGAATGCATAGTAAAGTTTGACATGACTGGAAAATTATAAGTAATTTAAAACCAAATTAAGAAAATAAGACTGACACATCAGTGATATAATACCGAATATGTGGAGCTTTGCAAAACTATACAAAAATATATCAAAGAAAACAGGCTGTATAAAGCACTTTTTTCGTGTAAGATGTATATTTAAGCAATAAAAATGGCAACTAGTGACCTGATACACTAACAATATTCATAGACCTTTTATCTCTCCCTTACAAAGACACTCGCTCGCTTCTAGTTAACAGATTTTGAAAGGTATCGAGGATTCAAACACAGGAAACACCACTGCAGATGATACACGATATAAAGACATGCCTTTTTTCAACTACATATTTAATAACCAGTTTGGGTACATCATAAGTCAGTGCAGATAATCTTCACTACAAAATTTTGAACCCAGTTACAAAGCATCCCTTCAACCTCACGGTGATTTAAACTTGAGATATTGTCACCATGCCATCGAGACAGATTTTTGTAACAGTAACTAAAAAATAAGAAAAAACTGACGGTGAGAAAAGGAGAGATAATGTTCATTAGATCTACAGCGCTCTTAAGTAAATATTTTACATATAAGAGATAAAAGAGAGAAAGTGGGAAAAAATGAAAAGGTTTACCGGTAGCAAGTGTTACAGATTTAAAAAAAATTGAAAACGAAAATAAATAAAACTGAACCCCCCCCCCCCTTCTTAAACACTTCACTTACAGTGGATGAAAAGTAGTAAAATAAAGTATTGTCTTTGATTAATAAGCAATTCGGTATTCATATGATGCTCAGTAACAGAATTTTAAGATTTAAAGCAGCCAGAATAACATTAATTACAGCGTCACCGGTCACAATCTGTAATGATTTTTAACTACTTACATTTTGAAATTACTAATCATGAAAAATTAATCCAGTAATTACAGCATCGGGTATTAAGGTTTTAAGTAACTAGATATATTAAATAACTTACATCTGGATTAGAAATGAATAAATGAAAGGTCGTCACGTAGACTGATTATTATTATTGTTGTTTTTTGTAAGGAGAAAGAAGGAACTAAAAGACTGGGTGGGGTATATGGTATATTTCAAAGGGTGGAGGAGTGGTTGTTAAGGTGGTATACTTCTTTAAAGAGAAAGAAGCAGAGTACTTGAATAAAATATATAAATGCGAGGTGGAAGGCAGGAGGGGTAGGGAACATCACAGGAAGACTTGGAGGGAGAGGGAGATGGGAGTTTTAAATACAAGAGATTTGAACATCCAGAAGGTTGTGTGTCTGCGAAAGTGGATGAAACGGATTTTAGGATTTTACATGCTAATGGAGTGTGAGGTAACATTTATGAAGGGATTCCAGTAAACACGTTGGTTAGGCTCGAATTCTGAAGGTGGACAATAATGCCTGCACTCAAAGATGGGCATTGGAATGTTGTAATTCAGAGTCATTTGAATTGTAACCCCTATTTATAGGGATTGGAGAGAGGCCTTGGGATGAAAAAATGGGGTCAATAAGTCAGATGTGAGATCAGGGTGATCGCATTATCAGGTATTAGGAGGAAAAGTCTCGCTTAAACTTCAGAGATTGTAAACTGGCTAAAGCAATATCCGAGTTACCAACATTTAACCTAATACCAAAAAGACTTCAAGAAAAGAGAAAATTTTAGAAAGGACTATTTTAAACGAGTTCTTGCTAACTGACCAGTTTTACCTATTCGGCACAATAAATATATATATATATATATTATATATATATATATATATATATATATATATATATATATATATATATATATATATATATATATATATATATATATGAGAAGAAATCCCACAGGAGACAACAGCGAGGAAGAGAATGTAGTCCGGATATTTCTACCCTCAGCTGAGGACCTCTTCAGAAGAATACAAAGTAATGAAGATAATATGTTTGCCAGGAATGAAACCCTGGCACGAGTATTTTCCTAATAGTGACCTGTCACTGGATCTCGAAGGAGTAGTGGAGTGTGCGAGTGGAGTACCATTTACATCCCTTTAGCAGGGACAGCCCTATGGCGGGGGCATGATGAGTCGTCTTTATTTCAACTGATGGAACAGTTAGCCATATTCGTCGCAGATGTCCTATGGCAGGGCCCTAAAACGTCGTTTTCGATTTAAGTGATGTCTTCAGTCAGGTGTGTATGATGTTGCAAGTCATCTTAAACTCGTCTGCTACCTTCCCCGTCCACACAGAGCTCCTACGGAATAGTATAGGTGTTACTGCAACAGGATCCAGGACTGCATCTCTTAGTATCTAATGGCCAGTGTTTTCTCTGGTTTAAGGGTCTCAACTCTCAAAAAACCTGCTCCATAAGAGCCACTCCTGGTGTTCGGGATGTATTCCGAGCGCATGGATGACAAGTTCTCTGGAGGTCTGCTAGGTAAGTATTGAGAAAGTAGAGGCGGAGCATTTTCGGTCTTCGAGGTGATGTATGAAGTCTAATTGCATCTCAAAATGGCAAAAGTTTTGGGGACATGACTTCTCATATTGGCTTGTCATTATATATAATGCTGAATTTCTAGGGAGGACTGTATTGATCCTACTCAGAGGCTAGATGATGCTTGGCTTTACTTGGAACAGGGATGCGTTCTCTTGTGCATATTTGGTGATCACATTCCTTTTGAAAGTTCCTATTGCAAGGGTAAGTTTCTGTATAGTTTCCATTAGTGTTGCTTCAGCCGATTTCCGTTTGTTTGGGTCCTCCATTTTGTTAATGATGTTGACACTGTACCCAGTGGATGGCATGATGTGAATTCTTCATGCATGAAAACAGTGCATAGCTTTCTTGGCTGTACCTGACTGAGCACTGGTGTTCATTTATCCTGGTCCCAAGTTCCAGTTTCTTCAATGTGCACCAAATCACAATTGTTTCTCATTTAATTTTTTTTTTTAATTCTTAGAAAACCATTTGCCTAATTTGTCTGAATAAGAAAATATGAACTCACACTCACACACGCCCACTCGCGCGTACACGTACACATACACACACACACACACACACACACACAACACACACACACACACACACACACACACACACACACGACACTTACCATTAATCTGAGAGGTAATGAAATGGTCTCTTACTTTACGTACGGTATATATATATACAAATACTCCGCTGCTGGGTTGCCTCTCATTATCTTTTTATGTAATAATGGTGATGTACAGACAGATATACAAAGACTCCTTAGAGAGGCACAGTGTTGCTAAACATACATTAACCTATGAGATAGCTGAAACATGTTGATACCTTAACCATTTAAGGACTTAATTTTATCGTACATTTGGTCAATATTTCTTATCGTTGTCAGTAATATGAATACCTGACTGCCTAGCGGTGACTCTCCTACTGTCTGTGATGGTCTAAGTGCCTCATTGATTCTCTCATAATGAGAAATGATTAAACTAGTAATTACTTTCCAGGGAAACCTCATCGAGCTATTGCCCGAGAATCTGTAATGAGCTTAATTTGCTGCGCGTAATCTTCTATTTGCAATTATCTAAAGCATTTGGAACTTCATTTGTCCAGCTATGCTCCATCTTTTTTTTTTTTTTTTGTAAGCTTTTTAGTACTTCCAGTTCATGATAGACAAACATTGTCCTTTTGGAATTCATTATAATCATCTACTACTCTTTAAAACATTTCTGCAAATTATTTCTAGGCAACTTTTCATGTAATATGAACCATGTGTTATGTCTCTTGTTGTCGGCACTAAAACATTCCTCACATAGTCGTGTTTTAGCCTCTCATGAACCTATGAGAACTTATGAAGGTATTTACTTTGCCAGGAAATAAAGGGAAATTGATGACGCCGCGGGTCTTGGTCAAGAGTTACCTGCTCAGTGGAACTGTTGCTCATTTGACAGAGGCCTTGTGCTGTTTTACAGTCTCAGTTTCTCTCTCAGTTTCTCACTCAGTTTCACCTCTTCTCTGTTTCTCCCAGCCTGCCTCTCTCTCTCCCCCCTCCCTCTCTCTCTTCTCCCAGCCTCTCTCTCTCCCCCTCTCTTTCTTCTATTTCTCTTCTCTCTCTCCTCTCTCTCTCTCTCATCTACTTCTATTTATCTTGAGCCACTTTCACTGTTTTTTTTTCTTTTCCATTCCCAGTCTCCCTTTGCCAGTATTTGAATGTTCTACCCGATTCTTTTTTCACCGATGCCAACAAAAAATCCTGCAATTTCTGGTGGGTAGTCTCGTAAACAAACTTTCGTGTGCTCTCGTTCTGTCACCGTATTCCATTTTTTCTTCATTTGGTTGCATCCTTTTTTTGTATGATAGGGACAAACCCACGAAAACTTGTATATTTATATATGTATTTTTTGTATGTGGGGGGGGGGGCAGGTGTATGCTTTTTTAGAGGATAGATGGAAGAAAGTGTGTTGTATAAAAGTGGTATTCAATACCTAAGATACCCAGACGTTGCACGTGTGTCTAACTCATCATGGATGATGATAAAGGGGACAGTCAAGGATAGTTTGAGAAGAGCTTGACCCTCTAGCAGATGAATGTAACCATGCACTATCAGCGTGGAGGCGAGTGGTTATGAGGGTTTCACTTCTTGCTGATGTATTATCTGTGAGGAAATTCAAAGAAATCAATTAGCTGAATTTTAGTTCCAAAAGTAGGAAGTTCTGTATCTGCACTCTTAAAGGCCGGGGGGGGGATCACTGAATCAAGAGGTCTGTGTCCTGGTGGGAAGGAAACTTGAAGGTGAGGGATGGTGAGTGCGCGTTTCTTTCCTTAATACACGCAGAAACCTAAGAAGTTAGCATAACCAAAATTCGCATGACCGAAGAGTGGTTTTCTGCATGCTTTGCAAGTTGCATCCTTCAGCGTAGTGTTCTCAACACGCGAACTACTTCCACTGAAAATATTCGATATTTAGCTCCCAACATGAGGCTTTTAGCTTCTCTTGACAGACAGGTTTGCAAATGCAAAGTAAACATTTGTACATTTGCTTGCTGTAAGTAGCTTTTTTTTTAAGTCTACCTAGAACGACACATTTTCTATACCCGTAGACGTTTCCGCCTACGAGTAACATGCGTTAGGGGCCAACTTAAGAATAAGTGCTGTGGATCTTCCGAGTTTCCGACACTGCTAACGTAAATTTTATGGAAATATTGCGTTGTGTTAGAATCATAGTAGATATCTTCTTTGGTAGGTTTGCTCCAGCAGACATGTTGCATAGTTGTGTGTTCTCCAGTAGACATGTTGCATAGTTGTGTGTTCTCCAGTAGACATGTTGCATAGTTGTGTGTTCTCCAGTAGAATGTTGCTTGTGTGTTTGCTCCAGTAGACATGTTGCATAGTTGTGTGTTCTCCAGTAGACATGTTGCTAGTTGTGTGTTCTCCAGTAGACATGTTGCTAGTTGTGTGTTCTCCAGTAGACATGTTGCTAGTTGTGTGTTCTCCAGTAGACATGTTGCTAGTTTTGTGTTCTCCAGTAGACATGTTGCTAGTTGTGTGTTCTCCAGTAGACATGTTGCTAGTTGTGTGTTCTCCAGTAGACATGTTGCTAGTTGTGTGTTCTCCAGTAGACATGTTGCTAGTTGTGTGTTCTCCAGTAGACATGTTGCTAGTTGTGTTTTCCAGTAGACATGTTGCTAGTTGTGTGTTTTCCAGTAGACATGTTGCTAGTTGTGTGTTTTCCAGTAGACATGTTGCTAGTTGTGTGTTCTCCAGTAGATATGTTGCTAGTTGTGTGTTCTCCAGTAGACATGTTGCTAGTTGTGTGTTCTCCAGTAGACATGTTGCTAGTTATGTGTTCTCCAGTAGACATGTACATAGTTGTGTGTTCTCCAGTAGACATGTACATAGTTGCGTGTTCTCCAGTAGACATGTACATAGTTGTGTGTTCTCCAGTAGACATATTACCTGGAGAGACCTGGAGAGAGTTCCGGGGGTCAACGCCCCCGCGGCCCGGTCTGTGACCAGGCCTCCTGGTGGATCAGAGCCTGATCAACCAGGCTGTTACTGTTGGCTGCACACAAACTAGTTGTGTATTCTCCAGTAGACATGTTCCTAGTTGTGTTCTCCAGTAGACATGTTCCTAGTTGTGTGTTCTCCAGTAATGTTAGTTGTGCTCTCCAGTAGACATGTTCCTAGTTGTGTGTTCTCCAGTAGACATGTTCCTAGTTGTGTGTTCTCCAGTAATGTTGTTAGTTGTGCTCTCCAGTAGACATGTTCCTAGTTGTGTGTTCTCCAGTAGACATGTTGCTAGTTGTGCGTTCTCCAGTAGACATGTTGCTAGTTGTGTGTTTTCCAGTAGACATGTTGCTGTTGTGTGTTCTCCAGTAGACATGTTGCTAGTTGTGTGTTCTCCAGTAGACATGTTGCTAGTTGTGTGTTTTCCAGTAGACATGTTGCTAGTTGTGTGTTCTCCAGTAGACATGTTGCTAGTTGTGTGTTCTCCAGTAGACATGTTGCTAGTTGTGTGTTCTCCAGTAGACATGTTGCTAGTTGTGTGTTCTCCAGTAGACATGTTGCTAGTTGTGTGTTCTCCAGTAGACATGTTGCTAGTTGTGTGTTTTTCAGTAGACATGTTGCTAGTTGTGTGTTCTCCAGTAGACATGTTGCTAGTTGTGTGTTCTCCAGTAGACATGTACCTAGTTGTGTGTTCTCCGGTAGACATGTACCTAGTTGTGTGTTCTCCAGTAGACATGGTCCTGGTTGTGTGTTCTCCAGTAGACATGGTCCTGGTTGTGTGTTCTCCAGTAGACATGTACATAGTTGTGTGTTCTCCAGCAGATATGTTCGTAATTTTGCTCCAGGAGGCACTCAGTCATGGTCGGGTAGAAGTGACCGAGGAATATGACCAAACACACCCATGTCTCCAGGCGAGACATGGGTGTGATTGGAGCTTTATTGGGAACGTTTCACAAGCCAGTGGCTTCTTCAGTCCCTTACAGAGACGAACAGCTAGGATGAGGGACTAATTACCTCAAACCCCTCTTCATCTTTCACCATTCGTTGTAACGGACTAAATAACCCACTGGCTGGCCAAACGTTTCTGTAATAAAGATTCCTAAATGTTGCCACAAGTGTCTCATTCTTCAACATGATTTTCTATACCATTTTCATCACACCTTCATCAGGCTCTGTGAGTGAAACATAAAATTCCTCTACTTAGTTTCTTTGAATCATTACTTGTCTGATTACGTTGCTATCTTCCCGAGTCTCTGGCCTTCACGTGGACTTTTATCTCAGTCATTTCTTAGAATGTTGGCAAATCAGCAGCAGGTTGCGTTCCAGGCCCCCAAGGACTCTGTGCCTTTACTCCTCTAACCATACTAAATTGTGGCTATAATGGTCAGTGCTCAGCTCCTGGCCCAGTCTCTTCATCCGGCCAATGCTGGCTTCACTCTCTCTTGGTTACGTGAGCCCTGTCATGCTTATTTTTTAATAGTATATATGGATCCCACTTAGTTGTCTGTCATTTCCCTTAATGATCACTCTAAGGATTAAATATTTGTACTCGCTTGTTTGTGGTTGCAGGGGTCGATTCATAGTCCATGGTCCCACCTCTTCACTGGTCGCATGTGTGTGTGTGTACTCACCTAGTTACTCACCTAGTTGAGGTTGCGGGGGTCGAGTCCGAGCTCCTGGCCCCGCCTCTTCACTGATCGCTACTAGGTCACTCTCCCTGAGCCGTGAGCTTTATCATACCTCTGCTTAAAGCTATGTATGGATCCTGCCTCCACTACATCGCTTCCCAAACTATTCCACTTACTGACTACTCTGTGGCTGAAGAAATACTTCCTAACATCCCTGTGATTCATCTGTGTCTTCAGCTTCCAACTGTGTCCCCTTGTTACTGTGTCCAATCTCTGGAACATCCTGTCTTTGTCCACCTTGTCAATTGCTCTCAGTATTTTGTATGTCGTTATCATGTCCCCCCTATCTCTCCTGTCCTCCAGTGTGTGTGTGTGTGTGTGTGTGTGTGTTTAACCCAGCATTTAGCCATGTACTGTCGTTGCACAAGTCCATCAATCTTAAACTAAGTCATCCTTAACTTAATTATCCAAGTCATATAATTATGCACGTCCACCTGTCTTATCTACGTCCCTTGCGATTATTCAAGCACATATGCCTCTCTCTGAGTTCTACCAACTCAGAGTTTCCACCTTTGTTCGAAAT